AGGAGACTCAATGCCTAAGCTCAGGTTAATAATTAGAATAAAATGTACAGATGATGAATGCTCTTACCCCTGTAAAGCTGGATCTGAGGTAATAATTTAACAAATACTTAGTGACCACTCAGAAGTCATCCTACCTGCATTCTAAGCCCAACTCTCTCATTTTATTACCTTGGATGAATTATATAACTTTATTGGGACTCAGTCTCCTCTCTGTTAAACTAGAAAAGAGGAGAGTGCCTAGATTAATGGCTCCTTGGCTTTTTTAAGTCAGAGACCTATTTGAGAATTTGGTAAAAATTATGAATCTACTGCATATAAACATGTGTGAGCATCAAAAAAATAATAATAATAATAATTACATTTATTTAAAAAATTCAAGATTTACATAATAGAAACTACAAAATGTAGTTTGAAGTGATGCTGTACCAGTTTCTGAACCAGTATCAGGCTTAAGAAATTGGCAGCTATGGACTCTGAAAAACAATCTGAGGGTTTTGAAGGGGCGGGGAGTGGGAGGTTGGGAGAGCCAGGTGGTGGGTATTATGGAGGACACGTATTGCATGGAGCACTGGGTGTGGTGCATAAACAATGAATTCTGTTACACTGAAAAGAAATTTAAAAAAAAGAGGAAAGAAAAAAAGAAATTGGCAGCTTTAGCTTCCTATGTCTTGGAATATTTATTCTTGAACCATGCTGTGAGGAAGCATAAACTATCTCACAGAGAAGTCCACTTGAAAAGGAGCCAAGGGCTCCCAGCTACAGTCTCATTTGAGTTCCTGTTCAATGGCCAGCCCAAACTCAACAAACTTATGAATGAGCCATCTTGGAAACCGGATCCAGGCCCAGCTTAGCTGCCCCAGTTGATGACTCCTGAATAGACATGAACTGTCAGAGGCAACCCCTGGACAAGTTGCACATTTGTGACCCAAATAGTTGATTGTTTTGTTTTAAGATGCTAAGTTCGGGGGATAATTTGTTATGCAGCAAGAGATAACTGGAACACTTCATAAATGTTGGGTTAATTATATTGCGCTAAATAAAAGACTTATCTTAACCCCAAAAGCTTTCAAGTAAACCATTTGTATTGGCTTTAAGGCACATTTGTGTTTTGACAAATTTTGGACTTCCCCGAACATGGATATAGATCATCTGAAAATGGTTCCACTTTTGCCAAGCAAAAGTTTCATCTTCTGGCAAAAAATTAAATCCTTTCTGATAACTCAATAGCATATATTGAGTGTGAAAAAAAGGGATCAAGAAACAAGTTTAACAAGCATTTTCTATACATTTTCTTTCATTAACAATATTAACTGTATAAACATTTCAAGAACATATATTGTGGAAAGTGATTTTTGCTATATTTAATCAATTTCTGCTGAGAAAGTGAAAATGCTATTTCAAAACACAAATGACTCTCTCACAGCACTTTATCTTCTCACAAGGAATAAAGCACAATTCTTGCTAAATGGAAGCATTGCTTCCTCCGTCTGTCTTTTCCCTTTGTGCTTTCTAGAATTCTAATTTGACTCCCCCATACCATAGAAATATATAGTCTCAAAATTGAGAAGTTACTGGATTATTCAGACTTGTGAAATATCTGGGATAAAATTCCATCTTTTCCCTCCTTTAAAAAAAAAAAAGACTCTAAATTTCATTAGTATCACTACACTCAAATAGTCACTCAGATGAGTGAATATTCAGCCTACTAGTGGTCATGAGTAAAAAACAAACTGATCAGAATTACCAGGGATAGCTTTAAGCCAGTCTAACAAGAGCCAGTCATAATACTGACTGAAAACCTGTTTTCACTAGAGTTTGGTTATTTCCTTTTTGTCCTCCTGATCTGATAATAGTATTGAAAATCTACTATGCTGCTTACTTCCGCTGGTAACAGAAGTGGTAGGGTAGCTAATCATACTCTAGCTTTATTTGTTGTAGCAAATTATTTTTCAATAATAATGCTTTGTGTATTGTGTGTTTAATTAAATACTTTTAAATGCTAATTTAAAAAAGAAAACTACATGTTAATATTGCTGATGAACATAGATGCAAAAATTTTCAACAACATGTTAGCCAACAGAATTCAACAGTGCACTAAAAGGATCAGACCGTGTGATCAGGTGGGATGTAAGAATGACTCAACAAAATGAAAGATAAAAATCATATAATCATAATAGATGCAGAAAAAGCATTTGGCAAAATTCAATATCCATTTTTGATAAAAACTCTCAACAAAGTGCATATAAAGGGGAACATACCTCAACATTATAAAGACCATATACGAAACACCTATAACAGACATCATATATAATGGGAAAAGTAAAACCTTTTCTTCTAATATCAAAAACAAGACAAAGATGTCCATTCTTGCCACTCTTACTCAATGTAGCATCAGAAATCCCAGCTAGAGCATTTGGTCAAGAAAAAGAAATAAAAGGCATCTAAGTAAGAAAAGAAGTAAAACTGTCTATATTTGCACATAACTTATTATATGTAGAAAACTCTAAAGATTCTACCAAAAACCAGTTAGAAATAAATAAATTCAGTAAAGTTTCAGGATACAAAATTAATATACAAAATAATCAGTTGCATTTCTATACACTAACAATATACTGTCGGAGAAATGAAGGAAACGATCCCATTTACAATTTTATTGAAGAAGAATAAAACACTTAGGAATAAATTTACCCAAAGAGGTGAAAGATCTGTACACTGAAAACTACAAAACACTGATAAAAGAAATTGAAAACAATACAAATAATGGAAAATTATTCTCTACTCATGGATTAGAAGAAGTAATATCATTAAAATGTCCATGCTACCCAAAACAATCTACAGATTCAATGCAATCTCTATCAAAATTCCAATAGCACTTTTCACAAAATTAGAACAAATAATCCTAAAATTTGTATGGAACCATAAAAGACCCCAAATAGCCAAAGTAATCATGAAAAAATGAACAAAGCTGGGAGCATAGCATTTCCTAATTTCAAACTCTATTACAAAGCTATAGTACTCAAAACAGTACACTATTGGCATAAAAACAGACAGGCTCAGGTTGTGATCTCATGATCCTGGAATCAAGGCCTGCATTGAGCTCTCTGCTAGGCGGGGAGCCTGTTTTGCCCTCTCTCTCTCTCTCTCTCTCTGACTGCCTCTCTGCCTACTTGTGATCTCTCTCTCTGGCAAATAAATAAATAATCTTTAAAAAAATTACATGAGCTACATGTAATTGTAATACAAGGTTTTATTAAATAATAACTATTATTAAAATAAGTCAGGGGATGTGCTGTGTGTTTTGTATGTGATACTCACTGCACCTCTGAGTTAGATTATTCTATTCTCATTGTACAGATAAGAAAATTGAGGCATTCCTTAGCTTTCCCATGGTCCATTAACATTTCCTACCACGCAGAAATTCTGCATTGATGAGAACTGTGATACCAGGTAACTCCATTTCTAATAGGTAAAAGCGCCACCTCTTTAAATTTAGTGTAATCCTTTCGAGGCCAAAAGAATTTATGCTTTGAATTCTACTCAAAGGCTTTGAGAGTCCTAATAGAGGAGAGGCAGACTTCATCTCATAGTGCACTGTCTAGGAAGATGGATTGGAAACATAAAGAGCTAATAACACCAAAGATTTTCTTTGCTAGGTTATCTTTTATACATTAATTATACAGAAGAGCCTGCTTAAATGGATACTCTTGCTATAGAATGTTTCTTTTAAAAGAGGGTTCTTTTACTTACTCTGCACTTGGGTTGAGAGATATCAGAGAGCTATCAGGGAGATAAATTGATATAAAGACAAAGTTTATTTCATTTGTAGTATAAGCTTATTCATTTAACTGACCAGTGAATCATCTTTGTATAGAATGTTGTGTCACTGTGATACAGTCAGATCACCCGTGTATTTAACCCATGCTATAGTTTTAAATCATATATCCATGAAAACTGCTATAACTTTGCAAATTTGAAGATAACTCTTATTTATTCATCTACCACACTGTATAAGGTAATATAGCCCCATAGTCTTTTGTTAGATATTCATTTTAATAGCATTCATAAATAAATGTTACCTCGTGTATAAAACCAACCTGAGAATCTTTCATGTTTCTCTATAACTCCTTTGAGGACAACTGTCCCCAAATAACTATATAGAACAATATTCTTTATTTTTCAAACTAAAAATATTTTTATTTAATTTTTCTCTAATTTTGGGGTATTGTATGTCTGGTCTTATTGGTGTACACATCTTACATGGATGACAACTGAATTTTTTCCTTTCAAAAATGTTATTTTTAAATCAAGACGGGAAGAATAAGCAATCAAGGGATTGACTGCTGCATACCAGTACTATGCCTAGCTTGTTATTCATATGACTTCATTTACTCTTCCCAACAGGGAGCTAAAATAGTCCTGTTTTCAGTCAGTTGCCAGCAACTTCCTTTTTATTCGCTCTCTATATAATAAAAAGAATGGGAAAATCTAGTTATTTTCTATTTGCATATATTTTTTTCTCTCTTTCCTATAGCTTCCCTAAACTTATTTCCTATTTATGCAAACAAGTCCTCTTTTTCCTAAGTAATCATTTTTCTCATTTCAAATTATTATGAAGCTTTTATCCAATGTTAGGTTCTGCTGTCCTGCCCACCTGTACATAGGTCACAATTATGGAAAGTGAATTCTGTTCTTTTGGTAGTCATTGCTGCTACGTAATTTGACTTAGGTCCCTCTTATTACTTAAAGTTTTTGAAATCAGTTAATTTGGTTGGTTCTCTTCTATCCTTTGTTTTCCTTCATCACTTCCAGCTAGATTTTCCTTTCCTTTAAATGTCAAACAAATTCTTATATTTCATGGTCAGCAGATTTGATGCTTGTATTCATTGGATCCAGCAAAATAAATTCAAAGGTCTTCCTTAATGTTACACAGACATGCTTGCCTGTACTCACACATGCTACATTAAAATAAATCAATGTAAACTATTGTGATTCTCTTTCAGAAACATGATGGCCATTTCACAGTCATCCAGTTGGTTGGTATGCTCCGAGGCATTGCATCAGGAATGAAGTATCTTTCTGATATGGGTTACGTTCATCGTGATCTAGCAGCTAGGAATATATTGGTCAACAGCAACTTAGTATGCAAAGTTTCTGATTTTGGTCTTTCCCGGGTGCTGGAAGATGATCCAGAAGCTGCATATACAACAACTGTAAGTTTACATGTCCTTTTCCAATATAGGTGGCTTACCTGTATTGTTTTTAATATTATAAGAATAATTGTGTTTTTGGTTTCCTAATTTTCTGCTCGCAACTGTCATTTTCCAAATTTAACATCATCACTTTTTTTTTAAAAGATTTTATTTATTTGACAGAGAGAGACAAAGAGAGAGAGGGAACACAAGCAGGGAGAGTGGAAGAGGGAGAGGCATCCAGCCAAGCAGGGAGCCTAATGTGGGCCTCAATCCCAGGGTCCTGGGATCATGACCTGAGCCGAAGGCAGACGCTTAACGACTGAGCCACGCAGGCACCCAAACATCATTTAACTGAGAAGTATTTGCTTTATCTGAGTGCCTGGCAAAAAAAACAAAACAACAACAAAAAAGCTTTCTTATATTTGACTGTTTTCTTTCTTCCATCGTACTGGGACTTTATTATCATGCTTGAGGTCCAAGTTTCGATTGCCCTCACAACAAATCTGCCTTTGCCTGAGGTATTCTTGGTGCTTAAAAATTATCTCCTTTAAATGGAGTTCTGTATAGGCCAATGGTGAATCAATTAAGTCCGTGCTAGTGAACAACCAATGGTTATGAAATGACTTTTTTTTTCCTCACAGCAAATGTTATGGAATGACCTGATTATACTTACAAATGAACAAGATAAGTTTCTCTGGAAATATATAAATACACCCTAAACTTTTTTCTGAATGATACTTGGGGAGAATATGGGCAGGAATAAAAGGCTAAAACTTTAGAAGCAAACTATCATCCATAGAATATATGATCTAACCTTAACTCATGAATAGTTTAAGCATTTCTGAATGCCCCCAAACCAGTTCATTCCACTGAGCTTTTTGGTTATTGTTTCAAGGATTTCAATCTCTGAGTCTTTCTTCAGCTATCTGAAAACTAGTAACTTGTAAAACTATACACTATTCTGTTACTGTTCAAACAAAACCTTCACCATTGACACATTTGACAGTCACCTTCAATGAAAAGTCAGTCAGTAAAATTATTCAAGATGTTTTTATCCTCTCCTCTTTCTCTAACCTTACACATTATTATAGAAGAGGCAAATCCATTATTTAGTTCCCTTTTATTTCATTTTCTGTTAGATAGTTTTGAAACTTCACTGTATTCAATTATTCCAGAAGAGATGCAAGTTTAATACTATGAGTGAAACATATTGTGTCCTGGCTATATTTGCACTGTAGAAATGATCTATATTACTTTATTGTTGATATTTCCACTAATTTCTCCAACAAAGAAATATAGTGCTAAGGAAAATAAATTAATCTCTGAGAGCCTGACATATAAGGTAGCAGTATCTATTGATCTTATAATTTGACCAAACACCTTCATAAAAGTAAACGTCTATCATGTCTGAAAATAAATTGTTCATCTCAGGAAAAGCAGTATTTCCAGCTCCATTTTCTAATTGGAAAATGTCATAATTTTTTTCATTTTTTTTTGAGGTCTTCTTTTCGTTTTGTTTTTTATAAATCTGTAACTTTTTTTTTAATTTTATTTTTTACAAAATATATTTTTATCCCAGGGGTACAGGTCTCTGAATCGCCAGGTTTACACACATCACAGCACTCACCATAGCACATACCCTCCCCAATGTCCATAATCCCACCCCCCCAACCCCCCTCCCCCCATTAACCCTCAGTTTGTTTTGTGAGATTAAGAGTCACTTATGGTTTGTCTCCCTCCCAATCCCATCTTGTTTCATTTACTCTTCTCCTACCCCCTTAACCCCCCATGTTGCATCTCCTCTCCCTCATATCAGGGAGATCATATGATAGTTGTCTTTCTCCGATTGACTTATTTCGCTAAGCATGATACCCTCTAGTTCCATCCATGTCGTCGCAAATGGCAAGATTTCATTTCTTTTGATGGCTGCATAGTATTCCATTGTGTATATATACCACTTCTTCTTTATCCATTCGTCTGTTGATGGACATCTAGGTTCTTTCCATAGTTTGGCTATTGTAGACATTGCTGCTATAAACATTTGGGTGCACGTGCCCCTTCGGATCACTACGTTTTTATCTTTAGGGTAAATACCCAGCAGTGCAATTGCTGGGTCATAGGGTAGTTCTATTTTCAACATTTTGAGGAACCTCCATGCTGTTTTCCAGAGTGGTTGCACCAGCTTGCATTCCCACCAACAGTGTAGGAGGGTTCCCCTTTCTCTGCATCCTCGCCAGCATCTGTCATTTCCTGACTTGTTAATTTTAGCCATTCTGACTGGTGTGAGGTGGTATCTCATTGTGGTTTTGATTTGTATTTCCCTGATGCCGAGTGATGTGGAGCACTTTTTCATGTGTCTGTTGGCCATCTGGATGTCTTCTTGGCAGAAATGTCTGTTCATGTCCTCTGCCCATTTCTTGATTGGATTATTTGTTCTTTGGGTGTTGAGTTTGCTAAGTTCTTTATAGATTTTGGACACTAGCCCTTTATCCGATATGTCATTTGCAAATATCTTCTCCCATTCTGTCAGTTGTCTTTTGGTTTTGTTAACTGTTTCCTTTGCTGTGCAAAAGCTTTTGATCTTGATGAAATCCCAATAGTTCATTTTTGCCCTGGCTTCCCTTGCCTTTGGCGAGGTTCCTTGGAAGATGTTGCTGCAGCTGAGGTCGAAGAGGTTGCTGCCTGTGTTCTCCTCAAGGATTTGGATGGATTCCTTTCTCACATTGAGGTCCTTCATCCATTTTGAGTCTATTTTCCTGTGTAGTGTAAGGAAATGATCCAATTTCATTTTTCTGCATGTGGCTGTCCAATTTTCCCAACACCATTTATTGAAGAGGCTGTCTTTTTTCCATTGGATATTCTTTCTTGCTTTGGCGAAGATTAGTTGACCATAGATTTGGGGGTCTATTTCTGGGCTCTCTATTCTGTTCCATTGATCTGTGTGTCTGTTTTTGTGCCAGTACCATGCTGTCTTGATGATGACAGCTTTGTAATAGAGCTTGAAGTCCGGAATTGTGATGCCACCAACTTTGGCTTTCTTTTTCAATATTGCTTTGGCTATTCGAGGTCTTTTCTGGTTCCATATAAATTTTAGGATTATTTGTTCCATTTCTTTGAAAAAAATGGATGGTACTTTGATAGGAATTGCATTAAATGTGTAGATTGCTTTAGGTAGCATAGACATTTTCACAATATTTATTCTTCCAATCCAGGAGCATGGAACATTTTTCCATTTCTTTGTGTCCTCCTCAATTTCTTTCATGAGTACTTTATAGTTTTCTGTGTATAGATTCTTAGTCTCTTTGGTTAGGTTTATTCCTAGGTATCTTATAGTTTTGGGTGCAATTGTAAATGGGATTGACTCCTTAATTTCTCTTTCTTCTGTCTTATTGTTGGTGTAGAGAAATGCAACTGATTTCTGTGCATTGATTTTATATCCTGACACTTTACTGAATTCCTGTACAAGTTCTAGAAGTTTTGGAGTGGAGTCTTTTGGGTTTTCCACATATAGTATCATATCATCTGCAAAGAGTGATAGTTTGACTTCCTCTTTGCCGATTTGGATGCCTTTAATTTCCTTTTGTTGTCTGATTGTTGAGGCTAGGACTTCTAGTACTATGTTGAATAGCAGTGGTGATAGCGGACATCCCTGCCGTGTTCCTGACCTTAGCAGAAAAGCTTTCAGTTTTTCTCCATTGAGAATGATATTTACGGTGGGTTTGTCATAGATGGCTTTGATAATATTGAGGTATGTGCCCTCTATCCCTATACTTTGAAGAGTTTTGATCAGGAAGGGATGCTGTACTTTGTCAAATGCTTTTTCAGCATCTATGGAGAGTATCATATGGTTCTTGTTCTTTCTTTTATTAATGTGTTGTATCACATTGATTGATTTGCGGATGTTGAACCAACCTTGCAGCCCTGGAATAAATCCTACTTGGTCGTGGTGAATAATCCTTTTAATGTACTGTTGAATCCTATTGGCTAGTATTTTGGTGAGAATTTTTGCATCTGTGTTCATCAAGGATATTGGTCTGTAGTTCTCTTTTTTGATGGGATCCTTGTCTTGTATCAAGGTGATGCTGGCCTCATAAAATGAGTTTGGAAGTTATCCTTCCATTTCTATTTTTTGGCACAGTTTCAGGAGAATAGGAATTAGTTCTTCTTTAAATGTTTGGTAGAATTCCCCCGGAAAACCATCTGGCCCTGGGCTTTTGTTTGTTTGGAGATTTTTGATGACTGTTTCAATCTCCTTACTGGTTATGGGTCTGTTCAGGTTTTCTCTTTCTTCCTGGTTCAGTTGTGGTAGTTTATATGTCTCTAGGAATGCATCCATTTCTTCCAGATTGTCAAATTTGTTGGCGTAGAGTTGCTCATACTATGTTCTTATAATTGTCTGTATTTCTTTGGTGTTAGTTGTGATCTCTCCTCTTTCATTCATGATTTTATTTATTTGGGTCCTTTCTCTTTTCTTTTTGAGAAGTCTGGCCAGGGGTTTATCAATCTGATTAATTCTTTCAAAGAACCAGCTCCTAGTTTCGTTGATTTGTTCTATTGTTTTTTTTTTTGTTTGTTTGTTTCTATTTCATTGATTTCTGCTCTGATCTTTATGATTTCTCTTCTCCTGCTGGGTTTAGGGTTTCTTTCTTGTTCTTTCTCCAGCTCCTTTAGGTGTAGGGTTAGGTTGTGTACCTGAGACCTTTCTTGTTTCTTGAGAAAGGCTTGTACCGCTATATATTTTCCTCTCAGGACTGCCTTTGTTGTGTCCCACAGATTTTGAACTGTTGTGCTTTCGTTATCATTTGTTTCCATGAATTTTTTCAATTCTTCTTTAATTTCCTGGTTGACCCATTCATTCTTTAGAAGGATGCTGTTTAGTCTCCATGTATATGGGTTCTTTCCAAATTTCCTCTTGTGATTGAATTCTAGCTTCAGAGCATTGTGGTCTGAAAATATGCAGGGAATGATTCCAATCTTTTGATAACAGTTGAGATCTGATTTAGGACCGAGAATGTGAT